AAAAAAAAAAAAAAAGAATGAAACTCCATCTCAAAAAGAAATTAGGAAATTACCAGCCAAATTCCTTTTGGTAGGTAGCATAACATAAACACAGGAGTAGCACCAGGAGTTGGAGACCTGCCTACAACATCATAGGACCAGTAAACTTTTTTGCACTGAGAAAAAAATTTGTCAGTCTAGCTAGAAAATTATTACCATTTGGGATATTTCTGTTAATTGAAATTGGTATACTATATATTGATAAACTATATTTGTAATACTATATTTTACATAGTTATATAACTATATATCAATATAATTAACTATACATCAGTATAATTATATAGTAATATATATGTAAATATTGGTAAACTATATGTTTCTATGACATTTCTATATTATTTGGTATTCAGTTATGCTCACAAGTCCATTGCTTTCTTTCCTTTTTTTTTTTTTTCTGAGACCAAATCTTGTTCTGTAGCCCAGATCTGGGGAGCAGTCTTGCGATTTCCGCTCACTGCAACTTCTGCCTCCCAGGTTCAAGCAATTCTCCTCTCTCAGCCTTCCAAGTAGCTGAGATTACAGGCGCGCACAACCATGCCCAGCTAATTTTTGTATTTTTAGTAGAGACGAGGTTTCACCATGTTGGCCAGGCTGGTCTCGAACTCTTGACCTCAGGTGATCTGCCTGCCTAGGCCTCTCAAAGTGCTAGGATTACAGGCGTGAGCCACCGCGCCAGGCCATGATAATTTAATTTCTACCCTACTTTATTTGATCATCCTCTAGTGTTTCACGTCAGGTAGTTAGGACATGATATCAGAGTGTCCATTAATTCCTGTGGTAGGTGCCATTATACTTTCTTTCCTGGCATAAAAAGAAGTGAGTCTCTGTGTAGCTATCCTGATAGGGGGTCAATTGTTTAAATCTAATTTAGTCATGAGGCAGATTCCTGTAATTTTATACTCCAATCAGGGTATCTACATTTAATCAAGGTCTTTAAAGATTTATTCATAACTGGTATCAGCCTCTGGGGTAATATTTGACACATCAGTGGAAACCGGTCAAAAACAAAATTATGAAATTAAATGTACCTGTGTAAAATATAGAGACAAGGTATAAAATAAAAATTAAATATGTATCTTCATTATTGGAAGAACTCTGCTAACTAGCTTTGGCAATAGAGCATGGTGGTTAATGCACTCTGAAATCAGCCCAGACAAGATCAGTCCCCATTCCACCCCAAACACGGTGTGAATTTACACAGATCATGTCATCTCTCTGTGCTTGAGTCCTCTTGGTCTTTATAATGGTGGTGCCTGGCTCATAGATTATGAAGACTACGGAGGTGAATACAGGTCTGTTCTTCAAAGCAAAGAGCAATTCATTGCAAATACACTTAAAATAGGACACATCCAAAGATGGCAAACTCTTCATAATAGAAAGGAACTTTATGAACTATTTCTATTGCATTTCAGCTGACTGTATTTTTTATTTTTATTTATTTTTTTCTTTTCTGAGACAGGGTGTCACTTTGTCATCCAGGCTGGTGGGCAGTGGCACGATCTCAGCTCACTGCAGCCTCAACCTCCTGGGCTCAAGGGATCCTCCCATCTCAGCCCCCCCACCGACTACCAGCTGCCTTTTAAATCTCGCTCATGCATCACGTTCCCTGCAGGATCTTGGGTCTCTGAAGACAAGTAGCAGCCTGTGGGAACTGACAGAACGGCTGCTGGGATGGGGCAATGGGAATGATGTTCTTATCGCAGACTACACTTAGAATCCTGGGGAATTTCTCTCTTATTTACCATTATCTGTTGTTTTCCATCCCTGGGTGCAGGTTAAGGTCCACAGATTTGATTATCAGACACCTAATTGTAGCCAACACCTTATTCCTCCTCCCTAGAGGAGTCCCACAGACAATGGCAGCTTTTGGGTTTAGACATTTCCTGAATGATTCTGGAGGTAAATTTCTTTTTTGTGTCCACCGAGTGGGCAGGGGAGTGTCCATTGGCTGCAGTGAGCCCAGATGGGATCTATCGGGCCACTGCCCTCTAGCCTGGGCGACAGAGAAATACTCTCTCAAACCAAAGAAAAGAAATAGTAAATAAATAAAAGAAAGTAACAGATCTCTTCCACAAATGTGCTGGGACAACTAACTGGATAACCACAAGGAAAAGAATAATGTTGGATCCCTATCTCACACCATCAAAATTTTATTTTAAAATGTTAAAAGAAAATGAAGAAAAAAAGAGAGAGAGAGAGACGAAGGGAGCCCTGCGGGAGGGGGTGTTACTTTGTCGCCCAGGCTGGCCTGGACCCCTGGGCTCAGCAATCCTCCCGCCGCTTCTTCCTGAGTAGCTGGGACCTCAGGCTCCCGCCCCCGCGCCCGCATCTTTGCTGTGTTTATCCAGCAGGTCCTCCCTCGCTGACCTGAGCAGTCCGTCCTGCATCCCAGGCGATGGTCCTAGGGAAGTCTCTGAAGCAGAGCACAGGGTGGACTCTCCCTCCCGAGTGAATGGAGAATAGAAAGGGAGAGAATTTCTGTTCCGTTTTGTGGGCAGTCAGCATGAAATCGTACGTTCCGCCCAGGCCGGGCCTTGCATTTTACATTCTAGTTTG